AAGTCAGAAAGTCAGAAAACACAACGACAATTCAGACAAACCGGAAAAGGTAGGTATAGTTCGAGACAGCGCCATTGGTACTCACCGCTTCACCGCTGACTGGACGAGACATCTGTCAATCAACGTATACAGGAAGAACCAGCCGAAGAACAGCAGAGTCGTGGTAGAAAGTTCGGAGATGGTATTAAAGTAGCTCAGTTTAAATGTTTTATATGAATTGCCCTTACTATGGAATAAAAATACGGGGTGTCTATTTACATTTAGTTAACAGTGGCTGTTTAACATTAGCTCCAGTGGCGCAGATGGATAAGCACTTGCCCTTGTCTTTTTGACGTGATCATCCCGGGTTCGATCCCATCTTTTGCCGAACTTTTTTTTTTCTCCCTTTTCAAATCTCGTATTAGCAATGGATTCTATTTAGACTAAGTGAAAATAGCAGTATTTTTTAGCAATATGCTATTTACACTAAGTGCAAATACCTAGTAATTATTAAATGGATGCCACCTTATTGGTACAATAAAGCCCTCCCTACACCCACCCTAACCCTACCCGATACTTTATTTTCAACTTTTTGATTATTTCCTTAATTTTTATTGAAAATAAATGCCTTTATGATGTGATACGAGATTTGAAAAGTGAGAAAAAAAAGTTCGGCAAAAGGTGGGATCGGACCCAGGTCGATCGCGTCAAAATGCCATCGACTAGCACTTATCCATCTGCGCCACTGGAGCTGATGATTTACAGCCACTTTTAACTAAATCTAAATAGACACTCCGTATTTTTTGATTGACAGATGTCTCGTCCAGTCAGCGGTGATTAATCCCAAACCAATGGCGCTGTCTCAAACTATACCTACCTTTTCCGAAGTTGTCGTTGTGTTTTCTAACTTGTTAATTTGGTTTCGGATTTGTCGTTGTGCTTTCTGACTTGTTATTTTGTTTTCGAATTTGTCATTGTGTTTTCTGACTTGTTATAATGTTTTCTGAATTGTTGTTGTGCTTTCTGAATTGTTATTTTGTTTTGTAGACTTGCATTTGCGTTTGTAATTTGTTATTTTGTTTTCAGAATTGTGAGTTGTTCTGCACCTCTCGGCCACCATACTAGAACCTTAAGCCAACACAAATTAAATATGATATCTACCCTGAATGACTGCATTACACCAACCTGGAGAATGTAAAGATGTAAATTATATAGTATGTCACCAATAGCAGTTTTTTTTTCCCACAAGTTAGGGTACGTTGCTGTCATACATACTGTGTGGCAAATAAAATTCAGACAAACTCCACAACCACCATTTCAATGGATCTGTGAAAGCGGTGTCGGAAAACCACTTGCCTGATCTCAAACAGACTTTAGGGTCCTTTACTTGTGGTATTAATGCATTTTCAATGACCGGATCACGATCGGATTGCACTTGACCATATCAAAAGCCAGGAGTAAATGGATCCAAGATAAAATGCATTGAGATAAAAAAAAACGCATTAGGATTCTAAAGACAAATGTTGATCATTTCAGTGAAATGCCATGTCGGATGTTGCTCACACAATTTGCTCACTTGATTTAAATGAACGATATCCCAATATTTATCAAATAATTTCACCACATTACAACTTGGAACCTCATTTATCTCATTTCTTTCCCCAAACACAAGCTCTTCTAAACCCTAATAACATACTATACTGTGGGAATACTCATAGAGAAGGAATGCAAAACCATATACCTTATCTCTGTCTGTTAAAATGACAAAAAAAATCTGAATTATGAACTGTAATGTACTACATTATGTACTACAACTTCTCACATAATTCACTACCGCTCAAAACTTTGGGTCAGTAATATAAATTTTTTAATCTAAAAATGAAATTAATACCCTTTTTTCAGCAAGGATGCATTAAATTAAGCAAAAGTGACAGTAAAGACATTTATAATAGTACAAAAGATTTCTCCTTCATATAAATGCTGTTCTTTTGAATTTTCCGTTCATCAAAGTATCTTGGCACAATGTATTATAGTTTCTACGGAAATATGAAGCAGCACAACTGTTTTCAACATTGATAATAACAAAAAAAGTTTCTTGAGCAACAAATCAGCATATTAGAGTGATTTCTGAAAGATCATGTGACACTGAAGACTGGAGTAATGATGCTGAAAATTCAGCTTTGATCACAGGAACAAATTGCATTTTATAATAAATATTTAAATAGGAAAAAGTTATTTTAAATTGTAATCATATTGCACAATTTTTACTGTATTTTTGATCAAATAAATGCAAGAAAATCTTACGGACCACAATATTTTCCATAAATTCCGCTTTTTGATCAGGTAACAGTAAGCAAAGCCCACTAAAGATGCATTAGAACAAAGATCTCGATGCAATCTGGCTTAACCCTTGTTGTCAATTTAAAAAAAGTAATTAAAAAAAACATAATTAAATATTATTTAGTAATATATTTTTCTGCTTTCACTGACAATATTCACTTTACCAATATCAGTCCAGATCATAACTACCAAAAATTCATTCAGTTTCAGGATTTTACCCTTTAAATGCCATTTTGTTTACATAATTGTTTTTTGTTTGTAATTTTTTAAATATTTTTTTAATAAAATTACATAAAAAAAAGACAAAAATGTTCCTAAGGACGCATGGGTTCAAATGTCTATGTAAAGGGGGCTTCATATCCACCCATTTTCCTGGTGTTTGAAAAAAAAAGTTAAAAACCGCAAGCTTACCTCTTTATCCTCTAGGTCTGAAGAAAAGCTACTGAAATCCTCAGTGTTGAGGCACTCAAAATCAGACTCCTCATCAGCGATCGGGACCCTGACATCCAAGCTTGAGTTGCTGATATAATTCTCAGTGTCACTATCCATGTCTGTTCCTCCAGTGCCTTTAACCAGCTCTAGTGTGGTGTGGTTGGAGTTATCATTTATTCCCTTGCAGTTTCTCCCGATCGTGTTCCCATCTACGGTTTTCTTTTTCGGCTTCCTCCTTCTTAAACAGCCGCTCCGGAAGAAATTCTGAAGGCAGGCCTTAACTAAAGCAACACCTTTCCTGATTCGACCAACCGCTATCTGCAGGTTGTTCTTTTCGCCCTCGTCATCAGGGGCTGCGAGGTTGTCGGCACTGAATGAGCTGAGCAGCAGAGCGAGGAACAGGTTCAAAACCTACAAAATTGGGAAGAAACCAACTACATGTTGACACAATTCAGATTTTTTTAGAGTTCATTTTTTAGAAGTAACTTTACATACCACCAGATTTCCAATGACCATGACCATCATGAACACAATTAAGCACAAGGGCTGTCCCGACACTTGCATGCAGTCCCACATGGTCTCGATCCACTCTCCACACAAAACCCTGAAGACGATCAGGAACGAGTGGAAGAAATCGTACATGTGCCAGCGAGGAAGCGTGCAATCCTCAGAAATCTTACACACACAGTCACGGTAGTTCTTCCCGAACAGTTGCATGCCCACCACGGCGAAGATGAAGACGATGATGGCCAGCACAAGCGTCAGGTTGCTCAAGGCGCCTAGTGAGTTGCCAATGATCTTGATTAGCATGTTCAGAGTCGGCCAGGACTTAGCTAGTTTGAAGACTCTCAGCTGTGACAATAAGGGGCATAAAAGATTAGTATGGGCAAGTAGAGATACACAATATAGATTAAAAAAAAAAGATCAGTGTCAGCTGATATGCTGCTTTAATGTCATCTAATGCTGATTCAAAGTTAATCTTTAAAAAAAATAATAATTAAATAACTTCAGCAAATCTCACTTGTATTTCTATAAATAAAACGTCTCAGGTTACGTATATAACCATGGTTCCCTGAGAAGGGAACGAGACACTGCGTACACTAGTTCCCCAATGCGACCCCTAGAGGACGCAGTTCTAAGTTCCCTCGGAAGGGAACGTCTCAGGTTACGTATGTAACCATGGTTCCCTGAGAAGGGAACGAGACACTGTGTCCTTTAGGGGTTGCATTGGGGAACTAGAGGACGCAAGTTTTGTAGTGTTTCGTTATGAATCTTTTTTTTTTTTCAATTATTTAATATATATATA